ACTCATGGACACAGACAACACTGTGGTGATTGTTGGAAAGGGGGGGTGGGAGGAGGGTCTAGGGGGGTAAATGATGATGGAAGGAGGCTTGACTTGGGGTGGTGAACACACAATACAGTATACAGATGACGTGTTGTAGAATTGTGCACCTGAAACCTGTACACTTTGTTAACCAGTGTCACCCCAAAACACTTAATAAAATGGAAAAAAACTGTACTAAATACTAGAGCATTCTAAAAAGTCGCAGTATCTATAAATCCCCTAAGGCGATTTTTTTTCTTATGTGTCTTAGCTATTTTTGGCCCTTCAATCTTCAGTATGTATTTTAGAATCAGTTTGACAAATTTCCTAAATAGTGATGTTAGAATATTTTTATGAACTAAAAAAATATGTATGTTGAAGAAAATTGACATCTTTTCAGTACTGAATGTTCCCCATCCTGAACATATCATTTATTATATCGGCACATTTTAAGTTTTCTTTTATGTCCCTCAATAAAATTATCATTTTCCACATAAATCTTGTATATTTTTGTTATTTTTTTTCTTATTTGCTATATTTTGTTGCTAATAATGACTTCTTTCCTTTGTACATTTTATATTGTTTGTGACAATGTAGACGATTATACAATCTACAGCAAATTATAGTTTCATTTTAATCTTTCCAATCCTTTACAGTGTATATTTATTTGTTTTTCTCACTGTACCGGCAAGGCTGTGCGGTCTGATGCTGAATACAAATGGTGATAGTGGTCAAATGTTTTGTTAAAGGGAATGTTTTAATATTTCTTCAATAATTATAATATTTGATGAATTTGTTTTTAATTCATACTATATTTCAAGTTAAGGAAGCTTCAGTCTTTTCTCAGTCTATACATCAATATCTTTATCTCTTTTCTGAACAATTAAGGCACCTGAATCAGCTCATTTTTGTACTTTTTACTTACAAGCTGCATTTTCTTATAGGCTTTAGTTTTGTTCCAACAATTTAGACTTTATTGTTCTCTTTTTCATAATATAAACATTTGGATTGACCAGTTTTTTCACACAAATTTTTTCTCTCTAGAATAATTTCCCTTTTTTTTTTCTGACCTTTATTCTTCAGTAGTTAACTTAGAACAATAAAATCACTCAGTTTTTGCTTTTCTGAAAATGTCTGTTTTTCACTTTTATCTTTGAAAGAGCGGTTCACGGTAGACTCCGTTGCCTATAGATAGTTTATTTTTTCTCCCAGAACTTTAAACTTATTATTCTATTGTTTTCTGGTTTCCACTGTTACCATTACAGAACAGTTTTTAGAGCAACTGAGTTCCTTTGGAAATAATCTGTTTCCGTGGGTCAGTAGTCTGGCTACAGTATGATTTAACGAATTTCTCTGCTCCAGGTCTCCAAGACTTAAATCAATATGTCAGCAGACCTGCATCCCTTACTGGAGGCTGTGGGAGAGAATCTTCTCTGAGCTCATTTAGGTTGTTGACTGAACTCAGTTCCTGGTGGTTGTAGGACTGTGCTCCCCACTTCCCTGTTGGCTGTCAGCTGAGGACCGCCCTTGGCCTCTTGCACATCTCAGAACCAGCAAAGGCATATTCAATCCTTCCTAGGCTGGGATCTCTCTGGCTTCTTGGCTGCTTCTCTCTTGCTTTTCTTCCACCACATCAAGTCCTGGCCTCTGACTCCGTGCCTCTACCTCTTCTTCTCACTGTTCATCTCACAGGGATCTCCCACTACTCTGGTAATCACTTCCCATAGCCTCCCTCAAACATTCAAAGACATATTTACTTAGAAAAAAATACTACCCCCACATCCAGGAAATTACCTTTATCTCCACTGCAATTTATAAAACCTTACACCCCAGCAGTAAGATTTTCACACATATAACCTCTATTTTCTATTTTGGGCGTTTCTTAGTCTTGTCATCCTTCTACCAAAGGGAATGAGTGTAAGGAGAAAGTAAGAAGACCAACTCTCACACCATGTACACGCAAAGATAAACGGCATAGTTATGTTTAAACATGTTTACATTTGAATGTATCCTTCAAGTTACTTTTTTAAAACTGGATTTTTTTCAAATAGATTTAAAATTTTATTTTTTGTGGGTAATTTTTGTATGTTCTGAGAGTACTCTCAGTGTAACTAAATTGCTTGGATCAATTTACTATGAGGAAGACAAATCCATGACAGTTTTAAAAGATAAAGATAAACTTTAAAGTCAAATATGTATCTTCTCTTAAGTCTGAACTTAGGTCTGACAATGTTCTCTTGTATTGTTTGACTCTGTATCAAGTAATAAGTCAAACTTTTAAAATACTGAATGCCTATAAATACAGTTCTTTAACTTTTGTTTTTAAGTGGTAAGTGACAATTTTAATTAAACTGATGTGGAATGTCTAAAATACTTTCATCTTCAGATGCCTTGGAATTACTTTCTTTTCTTATTTAATAACTATTTATTAAGAGCCTATTGTGTTATTTATTAATAACATGTTATTAAGAGAACTATATTAGCTCTGTAGATACAGATATGAGCAAGATCAATAACGTTCCTATCCTCGTAGAACGTAACTCCTCGTGGAAGAGCCAAAAAAAAAAAAGAAAGCAAAAATACATATTGCGTAAAGTCAGAGGAGAGAGAGTGCTTAAGGGGGACACTTGAGACAAGGTGATATTGAATGCCTGGTGAGGAGACAGAGACCTGAATGGAGAGAGGGGATGAGTCCTGTGACTATGAGGGAGGAACAAACCTCCAAATGTGTTTTATGACAACTAGAGAATCCAGGTCTAAAGACCAAGCTTGTGAAATAAGGAAGAGTAGAAACGCAGACCTTACATTTCTGTACAGATAAAAATTGCCTTCCTGTTTTGGCATTGCAAGTCATGGGACCCAAAAATCACATAGATACAAACACTCATTTACAAGGATCTCTGCCAAAAAACAGTACGAATCCTTACCCAGCAAATTACATAGACAGTTAAGAACCCAGGCTCTCAACAAGCTCTTAACAGAAAAGAAAAATATTCCTAGGTGATACATGGACAGAAAACAAGTCTTCTTCAGAGTTTTGACTGGGTTCTGACCATCTGCAAAAGTGAAAATTTATTGGGAGAAAATTTAGATGATGAAACATGAAACAATGAAAGGAAGTCTCAGCCTGCCTCCCAGTCCTGAGGGGGGCAAGCTCTGCTTCTGCACAGAAGGCAGTTTTGAGAAAGCCAGACTCATTCATTCTACACATTGGGTTTGCTGCTTTAGGGCAAATGCACTCTATATAACTCTTGATAAAAATGCATCCATTTCTGAAATTATTATTTATTGAGTTGGTAGTCTATAATACAACCATGTGGATTTAAAAATGCATATAGTCGTTGAAGAATCCTACTGCTTCTGGAAGATTTATAAGTATGTCAATATAATTCTATGCAGATTATATATCTTTTAGAAATAAGATAATGGTCTTTTAATTTTATATTTTTATAAATTTTGCCCAGAAATATTGAAAAGTAACTATTAAAATGGGAGCCCTTATTTTGCTTTTCTTAGGCAATAGTATGACTATTGTACTTGATTATATGGAAATAAACCTCAGCAAGAATATTATAGAGGCGAGTCTTCATATTTTCTGGATGACGTCTCTGAATTTTCTATAACACTCTAATATTCTCCTTTCGGTGGTCTATATTGTAATTTCCAGTTCATATAACTCCAGAAAAATTAAGAAAATGAGCAGAAACAACCTCGTGTTTAGAGAATTCGGAGTGCAAAAATTAACGTGGGATCAGCTTCACGTTACTCTTTTCAGGCGTTCTTACAGACGTTCAGGAACAGATTACTTCACAAAGACGATTACACTAAATCATAACTAACGACAGGGCGAATGCAAGCTGTGCAAGAGTTAGTGCTGGGTTCGTCGGTGATTGAGGAAACTAGCTCAGTGACCGCGGTTAGTGCAGTGCCTAAGTACGTGTGTCACCGCGACTCCCACTTAGTGACCTCCCAGTGCTCAGAGGGTCCAGTCTAAACCAGTAAAGCTTATAGGCAAAGACTTGAAATTTTAACTAAACGTCATCTCCTGAAAAGTCCCGTGTAAATCTCTCCCGTAACCCCCTTTCCACACCTCTGCCATTCCCAGAATACCCGAGAGCTGTGATAATCCCTCTCCTCTTACATCGCCCTTCCCACCTTCTCACCTGCTCCTCCTTGGGGAAACTATTTTCATAGCTTCGTACACAATACCCCTCATCGCTTCTCTCGGAACCCTCCCCGGAGAAAAAATACTGTGATCATTGCACTCCTGGCCATAGCCTTAAAATGCTGTTGAAACTGACTTTTGCATTTGTCTCTCCTACTTGTGGTGGTTTTCATGACAATTGAAAAATTGCTCTTTGCCAAATAAAAGGAGCATCTCTTTCATTTTCTTATCATTTTTTGTTTCAGTTTTTAAAAATAGGTTCCTTCACTGTAGAAACATTTTTCATGTTGAAACACCGATTTTAATTAACAAACATAAGTTACATTTTGGATAAACATGTATGGAATAAATAAGACATTTTCAAAATTAACATACCAGATAGAATGAGACGTGTTAAGAATTTTGAAAAGCAGCTGAGATTTATAAAAAAGAGGTATTAAAAAATTAATTGTCCCTGAACAGGATATGGATTTCTGAAATTGTGCCCCCTCCGTAATTTACTAAAGATAGTTTTTAAACGTTGGAAAGCAGCCGCTTTCTCTCTCCTCTATAAATTGAACCCAGGGCTGTAGCCGAGAGTTTGGGACCTTCCAATGGTGTCCGTAGGAGATGGAGAAAGGACACACACAAAAAAGCCTCATGTCCCAAAAGCAGTTTGGAGGCGGCCAAGAGGATGGTATTTAGTAGGTTAGCTGAGGAAATGACGAGAAGGAAATTGTTTTGTGTCGCGGGCACCATGTGGAATTCCAAGATAAGACAAACAGTTGCTAATTTGAGTATAAAAGCAGGAAACATGATACACTTGTTTCCTTTTATGCAAACACGAGTATATGAGGGGTTGTGTGAAAATTCTTTTTCTGCGGCCGACCCACAAAGGCCTAGAATCAAAGTGCTTCTTTCGGACAAACTGGCTTTTCTTCCCTTCTCTTTCTCTCCTCTCTTCTGCTTGTGGATATTATGGCTAATAACACAACAAGTTTAGGGAGTCCATGGCCAGAACACTTTTGGGGTAAGATATTTTCTTTACCTGTTTTGAATTTAAAATGGGATGCAGAGAAATGTGCTGTGTTATTGACCAAAACACTGGATATCTCTGAGGCATTTTGCTCACTGTAAACGGATTGTTTTCATTGATTGGCTACAAGAGATATATTCATAGAAAATGTCTTTCAAGCNTAAACGGATTGTTTTCATTGATTGGCTACAAGAGATATATTCATAGAAAATGTCTTTCAAGCGGGCTATTAAGACTTTGAAGAAGAATCTGGGCAACAGGTCTAGATTTGGCTGGTGTTACAAAATATAATTAGAAAATCATAGGAATAAAAGTGAGAAGCGAAGCGGCAGTCACTGCTCTTTGGGCTGTGATCATGTGGATTTTGTCGGAAAATGAAGCTTTATTTGTTTTAAGGTTATGGATTATGGATTCTACTTAATGAAGGCAGGAGTTTCTGTAGAGGGCACTTTAATGCACATTGTCAGTGTGATAGTTTTTAGTTTCCAGCGTGAATCTAACCCATACATCCATACTTAAGGAGTGCGATGACACAGATAAAATAAGGAATCATGTTATGAAGCTGGAGGGAAAACTGAAAGAGTAAAAGCTCAGTAGACATAGCAGCCCACACAGCATTACAGAGGGAGCCGGTGGCAGGAGGCAAAGGCCCGGCACAGGACTGGCGTCCAGAGGCCGCTGCTGGTGAACCCCGCAGCAGGGTTGGGGGGCGGGGGCCGCTGCTCAAGGCTGGAGGCCCGGGGGCGAAGGCGCAACACCGACTTGTACTTTGGGTTCAGGGAAATTGTAAAAGTAAAGGGGGCAATTTGAGCTACATCCAGAAAAAAGCCTTTAAAGGAGAATTGGACTTTATGGAGAGAGCGATAGCCGTACTTATTGATCCAGAACAAGTTTTTAATCCCCTCAGAGAACTACCGCAGACCTTCTGTTTGATGCCAGGGGATATTTTGGGAACAATGGGGTGAGAGTGAGCAGTGGTGGCCGGCTGGCCTTCGCCATCCCCCTAGTTGTCCACCATCGCAGACATTTGCATGAAGGGAATTTTAATTCCATTTACCATCAGCCATTTATGTTTGCTTCAAGTTTATAAAGGAGAGAGAGATAATAGGGAACATCCTACTATAATTATATAACAAAATTTGGAAGAATAAAATAAGTTATATTCGCATATGTAAAACATGGCTGGGGAAGCTTATCCGGGGGATGCCAGTAGGCAGAACGCCCCTGACTTGGAGACGCGGACTGTGCAGGTTCGTCACAACACTGCTGGCATCCGCAGTACAGAGAAAGCGACTGTCCGAAACGCGCTGAGAAACAGGCAGAGTGTGTCCACACCAAGCTCATCATCACAGAAATAGGCAGCTGTGTAAATGAATTCAAGAGGAACCCTTGTGCAAAAATTAATTGTTAAAGCCAAATCTATTTTCCCCAACAAATAAAAGTTACATTTCAGGCTTAGTTAAGGAGNCAGAAATAGGCAGCTGTGTAAATGAATTCAAGAGGAACCCTTGTGCAAAACTCAATTGTTAAAGCCAAATCTATTTTTCCCCAACAAATAAAAGTTACATTTCAGGCTTAGTTAAGGAATAGAAATCATTATCCACTGACTAAAACATGGATGGCGATCATGAAATAAACTTGAATCTGGAAGAACAAATGTTTCATTGGAGTTCTATTAGCCAATCCTAAAAACGGCAGGTTTTTTTAAAAAGATAAAAATCTGTGCTTGAGAAGGAATTCAAACTTACTGTTCCAAAGACAGTCCCTGGCGTTTCTTTGTCTTAGTATGTGCATACAATGGAAAATAGATAAAAATAGTGAAAACCAGGAAGGGGAGTGTTATAGCCATAAGCTTCAACAAAACCCGGGCAAACATGTTGGGCAGATACAATGTTTTGGGGAAAATATATAAAAGATCACATTCTTTCTACTGAAGTAAAAAATATTAGGTGTAAAATGGAAAAAATGTAAATGTGAATATAGAAAATATAAAAATTTCTGAAAACATAGATGTCTATCTTTTTATTTTTCTTCCTTATGTGTATCTAAATTGATATCTATTTTGATCGTTGCCTCTACAGATGTATTATTTTGAAAGCTTGTAAAATGCAGCACCAGGCACTGTCTATGGCTGACCAAAATCAACTGGCTGCTCCACACTTTCAATTGAGAGAAGTAAAGAAAGACAAGCTGTGCACTAAGCAGATCAGTTTCCCAGGCTTAACACAATTAAGCTGCGTAAAAAGTTGTTTCACAAATACAATTTTCCTGGTTTACTTTACTGAATGCTAAAAAAAATAATGAGGCAGTGACAGCAGGGATTCCTAATCTGCACAGCTCACATTTTCATAGTAATCACCCCAAAAATGGACTAAATGTTGTGCAAGGATTAAAGTAATGAGTGCAAAGGTGGGCAACAAAGTCACCCTGAGAGTGACAGCGCAGCTGAAGACACACCCTGGCATTTCTCACTTTGCTTAAACTGTGGCTGTAAACATCGCCCATGAAGGCAGCGAGGCCGCTGGGGAAAGTCGCCGGGCGTTCGTCTAGTGAAACAGCCGAGGGGCATCCTGAGCTTGGCTACCCTCGTGGCTCCTGGGGTTCTAAAGAAGGCATAGTTGCGGTTAAACTTTGTTTCTTACCACGTGGCCTTTCTCTTTTGGCTGGCATTGTGTGTGTGTGGCTAACATTGTGTGTATACTTGGCTGGCATTGTGTGTGTGTTTGGCTGGCATTGTGTGTGTGTTTGGCTAGCACTGTGTGTGTGTTTGGCTGGCATTGTGTGTGTGTGTGTGTGGCTGGCAGTGTGTGTGTGTTTAGCTGGCATTGTGTGTTTGGCTGGCATTGTGTGTATATTTTGCTAGCATTGTGTGTGTGTTTGGCTGGCATTGTGTGTGTGGCTGGCATTGTATGTGTGTTTGGCTGGCATTGTGTGTGTGTTTTGCTAGCATGGTGTGTGTGTGTGGCTAGCATTGTGTGTGTGTGGCTAGCACTGTGTGTGGCTGGCACTGTGTGTGTGTGTGTGGCTGGCACTGTGTGTGTGTGGCTGGCACTGTGTGTGGCTGGCATCGGTGGCTCAGGAGCTTGTGTTCACTTTCAGTTGCAGCGCCCGCCTCAGGAGGGCTGCCCCTGGAGAGCCCATGCTCGTGCCCTAAGCGCCTTTGCTCTGGGGAGTGGTGCAAGATGCCATGTGGCAAAATGGCAATGACGGATCATACGAGTTTTCAAAAATATGGCAGAAATGATCCCTACACCCTCCCTAGAAATAAAGAGACTTGAGCATGTCCTGGAAGGTCAGATAAGGTTCGAACAGGGAGATCCCCAGGGCGGGCTCTCCAGCCGCTCGTGCTTCCTTCCTTCCCGCAGCATCAGCCACGCACCAGCGGGCAGTGCCTCTGGCCTGCTGCACAATAGGCCACGCACGGGCCTTAGGGCGGGACAGCTGGGGCCCAGGGCCCGGGGGAGAGGTGCTGTGGGCCAGGCCTGGGAGCCACAGCCCCGCGGTGGAGGGTGCGGGGCCTGAGGCAGGTTTGCGTGGAGCCTGAATGCAGGCACAAGCCTGAGCTCGGGAGCATAGCACCCTCAGCTCGGGGGAGATGGGGGCTCAGGCCTCCCTTCCCCCAGCCTGGGTGAGTGGGAGCCACGACGCTCAGGGTATGGAAGCAAGAGTGCCTTTGGTTCTTGAACGAATATCTTTAGTTCTCATATTAGTTTTGTACACTTAGTTATTTATGGTTTCTATTTTTTTTTTGCTGATACTTTCTACGTTTTCTTGCACTAGGAGCATTTTCCTTCCCATCACTAAACAGAGATATTAGTTGCTCTGAAGCCGTTGCTTAGTCCTGCACCCGGGGCATCTCAGTGTCTTTGCTGACTTCTTTTTTTCTTGAGAATGGGTCACATTTTCCTGTTTCTTTGTGTGTCAAGTAATTCTACATTGTATTCTGAACACGTTGAATGGGCTTTCGGATTCTTTTATCTTCCCTAGAAGAGTGTTTTGCTTTTTCCTAGTTTGTTATCACAAGCAAATAATTTTTTAGAACTTGAGCTACAAAAACCCAGAAAGCCTGTCTCCTGAAAGGCGGGTCAAGCCTCGGTTCAGGGCAGGCGTTGTTGTTGTGGTTGGCCCTTGGTCTTCCTCCGGCCCTGCTGTTTGGAACTTGCGATGGAGTTCAGGAGGCAGCCACGGACACAGGAATGTTTATAAGTAAACTCCAGGGATCCTCTCGTCCTGCGGTTCCCCCGACTGGAAATGCTGCAGCTTTTCCATTGGAGTTTCACGTGCCCCACGTAACTCGGGCTGGAAACTGCTCAGGCCAGAAGTTCTGGAAAAGAGCAAAATGGCCCCGTGCGCCCTCTTATTTCCTCCACGTGTCAGGCGCCCTGCAGTCGTTGCCCAGGCTTGGCCATTCCTCAGGCCCTCACTGGGAATTGTTTGGGGAGGGGAGGGCATGGATTTGAACCAGCATTTAGAGTCCGCATGCCTGAAAGGTCCCTAAAAGCTTCCCCGCACTCTTCCCGCACTCCCACCGCCTACAGAGCCTGCTCCAGCGTTGCCCTTGCCCTCCCGATGGTAGTCCATGCCCCCGTCTCTTTCCCTCCCCACCCCTCTCTGCTGCCTTCTCCCCCTTCTCCGCCCCTCTCATCATGGTCCTTCCTATCAGTATTTATCTATTATTATTATTATATTATTGGAAACCACATTTGGCTTTGATAGCTCTGTTTCTTTCCTTTTTTTGCATTTTCCTTTTAATCTGTGTAATAAAACTCTGTATTCTCTTAATTATTTGTGAAACTTATGATGTTTGATTTAGTTGACTTTTGCTAACTTCTTGATATGGAAGCTTAAATCACTGATTTCCCAGCCTTTCTTTTTTATTAAATGTCTTCTTCTAAGACTATACACTTTTCTTTAAATGTGGCTTTAGGTGCATTTCACACGTTTTGATATTATTTGTTTCATGCCCACACAAGAAGGCTTCCCGAATATCATTTCTTCCAGGAAGTTTTTCTAACCATGCTAGATATAAGTTATTCTGTCTTTTAAACGTAATTATACTTATGGCCCATGATATTCATGCATCTCATTTGCTTTTTTTAAAGAGCATAAATGCATGAGCCTAGTGTCCACAGATCTGAAAAGGAAACAAGAAACTCAGGAGGGCCAGTGAGACCTCAGAGGTGAGCAGGAGAGAAAATTTATCTAGGGTGGTGAGGGCAGGCACAGCAAGACGACATAAGAGCAAAACCTAAAATTAACCCTGCAGAGAACCGAGGAAAGAACTTCAGGGATAAGTGACAACCAGTGGCAGGCCTTCAGTCAGGAGCGTGTCAGGTGGCAAAGAGGGCAGTGTGGATGGACTTGAATGAGCCAGCGGAACAGCGGAGAGGAGCAGAGACCATTAGATTGGAGCTTCTATCTACAGGCCATTTTTAGGAGTTTGCTTTTACTCAGAAATAGAGGGTTTAGAACAGAAGAGTGATATGATTTGACTTGCATTTTGAAAGGCTCACTGTGGCTACGTATACTGAGAACAGAGCGTGGTTGGGCGCATGGAGCGGGGACAGGAGCAGGAAGGCCAGACGGGAGGCTGCTGCGCCAGTCCAGGTCAGAGGCGATGGTTGCTGGGGCCAGGGAGGTGGCAGAGTAGCTCGTAAGAAGCTGACTTCTGCATATAGAGGTATTGTGAAAACAGACCAAAGAGGATTTTCTGGCAGATGAGATACACATAGAAAGTGCTTCTCTGTTGAAATGATTGTAATTAATTGTTTTCTGTGCCCTAAATAGTATTCCCTCTAAAAAGCTTTTGCCAGCATCTCATTGCCGGACCCATCCTCCTTCGTACTCGAGGGCACCGAGAACAGCATGGCCGGCTTTGGTGACAGCTGAGCTCATCACTCATAACTGCAAAGGATTCTGTGAACAGATCCATGTTCTACTCTGTTGTCTAAGACAAAAATCGCTTTTCAGACACTGGAACGATTCAGCTCCAGGCCACTAGATGGTGGCCTCTACTAAATTTTAACACAACACTACTGGCCAGAGCTTGAAGTATTGATTAGATTTACTAAAAAACAGATTCAATATTAGAATGCTAGAACTGGAAGGCACTATGGTGACTGTTACTATTGGGACAGAATAGCAAAGAATGATGTTTTTACTGGTTGACTTTTACATTTAGTAGGTGAAGGTGGGAGAGGGAATGCATGTCCTTTAGTTGTTTTTAATTTTCTTTTGACTAAAAGGATCCTAAATTTTCCTTACTTTTCTTTGCTCCTTCATTATGTGGTTTCCAAAAACACACACAACACCTTTCCTTTTCTTTCTTTGTTGTTTTGAAACAGCCTTATTGAGACATAATTCACCCACTTAAAGGGCACATTCACATAGTTTTTATTATTGTCACAGAGTTGTGTGACCATCAGCACAATCTAATCTGAGAGCATTTTGTCCCTCAAAAGGAGACCTGTTCCCAGGGGGGTCACTCCCACTCCCTCCCGTCTCACCCTCCAGCACTAGGCAGTCACTGTTTCCTCTCCATCTCCACAGTCTTGTCTGCTCCGGACATTTCACATAAATGGCATCAATTATAGGAGATGTGATCTGTGGCAGCCTTTCCAAAACTGCCTCCTCACGCTCCTGCATGCATTCGAAGGTTTCTTTCCTATAGCAGGGGTCTCAGGGACCAGAATACCTTTTCATTATCTTTGGCTTTTACAGAATTGCTTTTCCTTTCCATGGAAGCATGGGAGATAATTTATTGGCATCTGTAGTATTTTTCATTGTTCATTTTCTCGGTAACTTGAAGTTGGATGTCACTGTCTTCTAATTATGCTGAAGGCATGGGTTTTGTACAGTTTTATTTGTTCATGTGTTGTTTTCTACTGTTTCTTAGAAGAAATGTTGGGAAATTCTGATCTACATTGCTGTCATTGTCTTGGAAACTCTGAATTCCTATAAAATTATTTTTAGGTTCCAAATATTTGGGGCACTGATAGTTAGATATCAATTTGGAATTTTACTATATTACTAGTAAGGCTGACTTTAGGTTCTAACTTTATTTGCTTTTTCCAGATCAAGCCTCACCCAATGAAATCCTTATCTCAACAGGCTCCATTTTAAGACCATGACTCAATATTATTTTTGTGAGACATATTTTGGAAGAACAATACTGGGTCTAACAGATTTTTCCTAAATCATCCTGTAATTCAGAAGTCATCTTCCTATTATAAAAAAATTATTGCCTAGATTTAATATAAACAATTCCTTAGAGGATTTTTATATTTGTAAAGATAATTATGAAAGTAGGGGATAACAAATATAGTCTTTCCACAGGAGATAAATGTAACAATAAAAGATGGAAAGACACAAAATATATCCTAAAATTAAAGAGCAATTATTATTCTTATGTATTCATTAACATTTGTTTATTTTGTTATTTCTGAATTACAGATTTTCTATATATTGTGATAGAATACAACAATAAACTGGGGAAAAACCTTGGCAATCATAAAGTCTAACTCCATTAAAAAATAATAAAATCAATGAGTCTAAACAAATTTCCTAAATATCATACAACATGTTAGGGATAGAGTGGAATTTGGAACCCTGAATCAGTTAGCTTTTGCTGTGTAACAATCCACCCTAAAACACAGTAGCCTAAAATGATCATTTACTTGGCTCATAATTCTGTGTGGTGGCAGTTTGGACCTAGATCAGCTTAATGCATTTTCTGCTGGTCTCCTCTCATGTATCACACTCATATGTTGGGTTGACTAGAGTCTGAATTACCTAAATGATGCCATTTACATGTTTGGAGTTTGGCAGGCTCTTGGCCAGGGCTGTAGGGTAATTGGCCATGTGGGCCTCATCATCCGGCAGGCCAGCCGGGGTGAGTTCATACGCTGACAATTCAGGGTTCCCGGGAGTGGGCGGGGTGGGAGCTGAAAGCCCTCCTGAGACTTGTGCTTGCACAGCTTCATTTCCATTGAGTCCAATTGGTCAAAGCAAGTTGCAAAGCCAGACCAGGTTCAAGGGGTAGGGAAATAGATTCTACCTCTTCACGAAAAGACTGTCAAAGCATTTGAAACCCCCTTCTTTTGTTTTCCCAGCCTCACGACCCCATTTAGTTAATTTCCAGTCCGTGTATCTCTCAATACAGAATCCTTAAACAAGCAATGAGATAAAATAGCTTACTCCTCTACTTAATGGTGACTAATTTTTGTTAAAGAAATGCAGGTGTCTCCCTCTAAAAGGCGATACTTGAAATGGAGTTTGAAGAGTGAGGTTTCCAGACAGAACAGTAAAAGTTGTATTGAGATATACGGAAAAAATACACAGGAAAGCACCGGGTTTCAGAGAATGACAGGCTTTGGATTAGTGAGAAAATCACCATGGCTTGTGGGTTAGATCATGGGGTAGAGAATGGAGAAGTGTGAGGGTGGTTAAGGCTGGAGGGGCCTCTAATAGGCAGGGCATCTTTCCATTCAAAGCAGGGGCTCCGGCACCCAGTTTCATTCAATAATGTGTTTAGTTCCCACGGAGAAGCGGCAAGGTAGGCTTTTCATTTTGATAAGGTTTCTGCCCTCCCCCATTTCCCAGCACAACAGGAAGTCTGAACAAACACAGGTTCTGTGAATTGAAGGATGCTGATGGGTTGCAGAGATTCTATGGAAATTCAGGGAACAGGAATTTTATTATCAAAACAAGGACATCAACTAGAGCTTTGGGACCAAGAAAGAGCCCAGTAGTCTGCACAGCTCATGTCATCAATGAGTCATAAATATAAGTGACAGCCCAGAATTTCAGGGAATATAACATAAATCAGTCAGCCCACCAGATGGTCCTTACTCGGCATTTCCTATCTCAGAATGAGCACAAGAAGTGAGACATCAGTGGGGGTGACGAGAGCAGACAGGGGAAGAGGGAAAATCAATGATTACAAAACTCTTTATCAATTTTTGGTACATTAGTTACTAGTGGAACTCAAATGGAAATAATCGTTGGACTACATTTGCAACCCTATAAAAATTTTATGAGCTAAATAATGGCCTTTTTAAAAAAAATGAGACTGTTTTTATTACTTATTTCTTAAAGATGATAGAGTGATGTAAGCACCATGAAATGACACAGATAAAATGTTATTTTACATCCTTTTGTCTAAACGGAAACCTAACAGCTTTCATTTATTCTTGTCCACCTAGTACCATTTTCTCTGATCCAAAATCTGTTTAATCCTATGTATCGCTCCACACTTACTGCCCTGTGTTTTTAGTTGAACCCCTACTTACAAATCAAACGACCTGTTTGGGTTTTTGTTGTTTCTTTGTTTCAGAGGATCTCCTAACGTCCTTCACAGTGTCCATCGCAATCGGGCTGGTCATTGGAGGGATTATTTGGGCCCTGTTCGTTTGTCTGTCTCGGAGAAGAGCCAGCGCCCGCATCTCACACTGGAGCTCGGCTCGGCGATCCAGGTCCTCCTACTCTCAGGGCCTCAGCAGGCCTGGGTTTTACCGCCACAGCGGCTACGAGCGCAGAAGCAACCTCAGCCTGGCCAGCCTCACCTTCCAGCGACAGGCCTCCCTGGAACAGGGAAATTCCTTTCCAAGGAAATCCAGCTTCCGGGCTTCGACTTTCCACCCATTTCTTCAAAGTCCCCCCCTTCCCGTGGAAACGGACAGCCACGTGATGACCCTCCCTGCTGCCTCCTCGCCCACCGTCCACGCTTCTCACAGCCCGGGCCGCCCCGACTTCCACTGGTCCAGCAGCAGCCTGCCAGTGGGCCTGTCGCCACCGCCACCGCCCACCTACGAGTCCATCATAAAGGCGTTCCCAGACTTCTGAAGGGGGCTTCTACTTTTAACGTGTTTCTTTCTTTCCTCGCCTTTTCTTGAAAGGAAGTCATAGATAGATTAACCAGAATTTTGAGGACAGGGCCCCAACCACCAGTGAACTCCCAAACTTAAAAATGCTCATGCAAGTTGGACATTACAATGCACATTTCCTTGGAAGCCGTTTTTCCTTGCCTCACAAAGAAGTAATATTTTCCCGAATAGTTCTATATTTATGTATTTTGTATTCAATGTGAGGATTATTAAAGGTAGTGATTCTAACCAAAGAACCACAAATAAAAACAAGGTATTTGTGGTTTACAATCCCCATTCACTGTCCAATGTGATTACACAGGGGAAAAAAATCAGTGTGCCTTAACATTTTTTCTAGCCTAAGGAATTTTAATTTTATTTTCTTTGGAATAACAAGTGAACAGTTTTACAATCTTGGATTTTTAATGAATTATATGGGCACAAGATGGCAGAACATAGATGATTCTAAAGTTCCTTGATTCCTCTCACTTATGAAAAGTATGGGAACCAAGCAAAGGAAGCTGAACGCTGTGGGTATTAGAGGATACTTCAATCTGGACACTTATTTTTGTGCTTTTCCTAAGAATAGTTACCCACATCATTGAGGCAGAATCCTTGGATAACTTTCTTCACTGTTGTAGTTACGTTTTTAGAAAAACAACCACCACAAATACAATTGATTTAACCTAAAAACAAACTTTAACACTGAACTTACATTTTTCTTAAGGGATACATTTTATTTCTTAGGTTTAAATCTAGTCATTGGAAAAGCACTTTATGTAGGCACCTTCTCCTGTACCTTCACAGACAAATAAGTAGGGTCAGTGGGGACAAAGTCTCTCATTGAAACAGATGTTATACCCATGAAGAATTCTCCTTCCTGGGCTGATTCGTCAGGCATTATGGGTCGTTTGGATCTCTATGAATTTCAGCCTCAGACTCTGCGAAGAGTCTTTATACAAGGATTAAACCATGCCATAAGTCCTTGGTGCAACCAGTTATTTAAGGTGTTCATTTCCATGGACGGCCATTCTCTTAAAGAAAGGTACATCCCCAAATGTGGGTACCAAAGAGCTTCAGTGACCAGATGCCTGTGGCTGTCCTTTTTTCATGTAAGAGCACAAGTTCACTGGATAATTACCCCAAAGGCCTGTGGTTTATTTCTGATTCAGTGAATATTTAGCTTATGTTGCTGTTTGTTCATACGAACATTGAGATTTTTGGTGAAGATAAATGTACTCTCATTATAGTTTCTGCAATGGTCCCAGCTAAGAGTGTCTAAATGTGGCTCAAGACTGTAATAATTTTTATATAATAAGATATTGTGTATAGTATTTTCTTTATTATTTGCATTTAGCTTATATTTTTACTGTTCCTCAAGGATAATTATTCTTAATGATGTCTACAGATAGGTGCTCTTTAATGCAATATACCAGAAAGAGAGAAAGAAAGAACTCATAGGATAACCAATTTGTTCTATGTTGTTTTTTAAACAAATTTAGCAGTCGTCATATAGCCACATAAGTTTTCAAGAGATCATTAAGTTAGTAAAAAAGCTATCTTGCTTATCAAATGCCATCCTTATTGTTTAACAGGAGAAGGTAAACAGATTTTATATTGGGAGTAAAAGCTGTTTTATATCTCATAAATTAGAAAATGAAAGACATCCTCTGATGTATTTAACCATCTGGGAGAATTGTCTCCTCCCTCCCCAAGTTATGAAACAATCAAAATGAGAGCCTTGTAAATATTGTGCAATGTATGAAATGTGAAATTAAAGCTAAACCTGGAGACCATTTTAGTTGTATTTTTTATTTGAAAGGTTTAATTAATTATGAAATAAAATTAAACTGATGTTAATTTTGATTCACAGATTATTTGTTGAATAACTTGTGAATATCTCCTATTTACTTTGGCATTTTAACCCAATCTAGACCATCCTCTATCTATTCCTAAGACATAAACATTATTTTATATAAAAAATGTATTAAAAAAAGGGTGACATCACCAATAAATGGAACAGGATGTTTCAATGAATGGAAAATGTTGTTTATTAAAAAACATTAATTTAGATTCTTACCTCACTAGATAAACAAAGTAATTCTAGAATTACTTAACTTTTTTAGAGAATAAACTTTTTTATTAAGATATAATTGACATGTAAAATTATATTAGTTTCAGGCGTACAACAAAAAAATGTTTTATAGGTAAGCTCCAGCTTAGGTAAGAGCAGAGGGTGGGAGGGCTGAAACTGAAATGGTATTGACTGCAGTTGAGGATAGGAGGAGTAGAGCTGGCAGCTGGTAATAAATGACCAAATGGTCATGGGAATCTCAGAGTAAAGGTATTCGGGTATTATGGGAGCAGCCCAAGACATCTGTTCAAAGATGAAGGACAAATTGAGAGAAAATATTGACAAAATGCATGACAAAGCGTTAATGATCTTTACATAAAGTCCTCATATGATAAATGGAAAAAATCATAAGAGAGGAAGATTAGGAAATTCACTGGTGAAAATGAACATAAAAAATCTGAAATAGAAAAGAACACTCAATCCACACTGAAAGTAAGGTAAACTAAAAGCTCCTACTGAGAATGCACAAAGAATAGCAACAAGTTATAGTAAACTTCTGATAAGATTTTCAAGGGACACCCGGAACAGCACCCACTTCCCAGCTCAGGGTCACAGTGTGATACTGCAGCCAATCAGTTAAAAGGAAAAAACTCTAACAGGTAATGTGAACACCAAGTGTGGAGAGACAAGCACTGGAGACATGAATCGGCTCCTGGAAGGATTAAATCTATCTTACTTCAGTCACCAATCAACAGATTTGAGAGCTCAAGGAAAATTACTTTGCCCAATAGTGCCATTTTTACCTCTAACAAGTTTTCTATCAGAGAGTGTTGAAGTTTGATGACAAACTTTTTTATACCTTCAGAGAGAATATATATATTTGTTCTGCTACAAAATATCTTTCTTGGATGTCAATTATCTTTTAGATGGAATGGGATTAGTAGGAAGTCTTATTGGTTCCTTTGGGATTTTTCCTAACACATTCATGTCTTCAAACAATCAGGAATTAAAAGAATACAAAATCCCTAGCAACATATACATGCAAAATGTGGATTTTTTTCGAGGATTATAATTATTTACTCTGGGAAAGTAATTCTAGCTGTTATAAAATTTCATGTTATAACTGACTTCCTTCCTCAGGTCCCTGATGATTATTAAACCAAAGCCTTCACTGAATAGACAGTGTACAGAACAGCATCCCTACCCCTAAACCCAAACCTAGTTAGAATGTCATTGGACTAAGACTATTCTTGGCCTAGAGGTTTTCCAGTCATTTCTTGACTGATGCGATGAACTGGGATTTTAACTTACAGTCAGAGGAAGCTGCATACAAATTTAAAGTGCTCACTGTACTCCCAGCAAAATCAAATAAAATCTCTGAACGCTGACATTGGTGCTATTCTGAAAATGCTCATACAGGGAAGTCTGGTGATCTACAACAAAGCAAGTAAAAACCAGGAAATATAAATTATAAAACAGGACCTAGAACCAGAGGTCATATTGAAATAAAAGGTGAAATGGGTAGTATAAATTTGGCCAGGGTAAAGAAACAAAATGGGAGGAAAGAAAGGAAAGCAGATTACCAGAAAAAACATATTATTGGAGTGGAAAGACAGAATCTTACGTTTTTCCATTAGCATTAGTTTCTAGCTTTCTGATTTATTTTTGAGTTCCTAAATTCCACTTGTAGGAACAAGTATTTGTCTTGTTTGGCCAACACATATTTTCATATTTGATTACCTAACATTTTAATTTTCTTAGGGGAACAATTCTTCCACTTGTCACAGTTTTATTGTGACTCTCAAAGTTCCCCCACCTGTCTCCTTCCCCTCCCTGTTATCAAAGTGGAGAAAATCCCCCCTTTTCAATCAGTACTCCATGTTGTGCTTGCAGTTCCCTTTTTACCTATTTAATGATTTTACTGCTTCAAATATCCCTGATGTCTAAGGTGTTATCACTGCTTCTATCTTAAATTGGGGCCCTTGAAAAGAAACCCTGAAATGGTAATTTGTGCACAGAAATTTTGATGGGGTGGGGAGTTCTCAGCAATGAATATCTATGAATGAATGAAGGAACAGGATTGGGCAGAAGAAGCGGTTAAAAAGAATGGCATCTCCTAAAGAGGCATCAGCCAATCTTACAGAGAATGCTGGATGGCCCCTCAAAGCTGTCCCTAATTGAAACAAAGGACCAGACAACAGTTAGGGTTAGGGTTGGGGTTGGGGTTGGGGTTAGCATTAGAGTTAGGGTTAGGCTTGGGGTTAGGGCTGGGGTTGGAGTTGGGGTTGGGGTTAGGGTTGGGTTTGGGTTAGAGCCAGGGTGAGCATTAGAATCCTGTTAGGCCACTTAGAATCCCTCCTCACCCCTGATGTTTCTTTGTTATTGTCCCTTTATTGACCCTCACTCTAGTCCTTCACTATAAACTCTCACTTCTCCTTATTGTATCAGAATTGAACCAATTTCTATGAGGTCTGTTTCCCTCTACTGCAATTGTTTTTCTCAACAAATTATGCTTTTACCACTCTAATTATTGTCCAGCTGTTTTTTTTTCACTCTAAAAAAAAAAAAATAATAATACAAAAAAGAACCCCATACATTTTGACTTCTCCAGTGACTGTCAGGCTGTTGGTTTTCACAGATACTAGGTTTGCAAGGCTGCTGATTTTCAAGGCTACCAGGGAGCTGCCAAGAAGGAGCTAAGAATAGGCAAGTTGAAATGCCACATGGCCCATTGTCCTTATCAAGATTCAGCTGTTTTTCTTGAACAAATGTTCCCTTGGTTGTTACAAGTCTTCGGTTAATTTCCAGAGTACTGAAAATGTGACAATTTTCTGCCAGTGTTCTCACCGTGTTCATGAAGGAGAAGATGTTCAGAGGTCCTCATTCCATCTCTCCAGCAGGGCTTCTGCTTATCGACATCTTGGTACTTAGACAATCTTGCTGTAAAAATCTACAGGCATAGGGTGCATAGTTCCTAAAAATTTGAATCAAAGTCCACCGGTTCTTCAATAGAACCCTGTAGTGATTTCTCCCGGCTGTGCTTTTCCTGTGATGTGAAATGACAGGCAGGAGTCAAGACCCTCCTCTGGAAGGAGTTAACTGATTTTAATGGCATACTCTTCAACCACGCAGCCCTTTGAGAAAAGAATGTGTAATGCCTACGGATGGTTAAAAGATGGCCAACTTGTGTCTCAGTTTAAAATCTGGATCACATATTCCAAGGCTTTCATTCCTCAAACTCTCCAGAATAAATTTCCAACTTCATTAAATCCATTTCTTCTGGACAAGTGTAATTTATTGTTCAAATCCCTTCCAAAATGGTCTTGAAGTGGAGAGATGCTCATGTGTGATACACATTAAGATTACATGTGTCGCTTGGCATAAGTTCAGTCTTTATTTAGACAGTTCCACTCACCTGTAGAAACTGGACACTGATCCCGTGTGTGTTGACTTGTTTGTCCCCTGTCTCACCCCTAAGTATATGCTTTCCCAGTTTATTCCTCACTGAAATTCTCATTAGAGGAGACACGTCCGTAACATTGCCCACATGCTTTGACATTTTGGGGGGAAAGAAGGTTCCGTTTTATTAGGTCACTTCCACCCCAAGGTATTTGCATAAGTGGTGTGGGTCTGGCCCTTGATGTCGTCTTCCTGAGCGATCTCTGATTGCTCTCAGGCATGCTGTAGACACACAGTCGCAATGAGTCTTGTGCTATCTTTACCAAATCAAATCTGCAAAGTTCACTTGCAATTTAATGTATTGTTTTTGAGTCATCTTGACATTTTGACTTCATAAGTGTAAGCTGAAAACTAGATTTACTGGAAATTTGTTTTTAAAAATAAAACAACATTTGCCAGATCCCTGATCTACAGTTGCTTTATAACATTAGGCAATGCTGATGAGGTAATGCTGCTGAAAGAAAATGTTCAAAAAGAAATTTATCTCTAATATTTCTGAAGCTCATAAAAGAGTAAGACTGTGTTCAATAGGAACAGAAAATTATACAAAGAATAGTGTAAGTTAGTAGCTTAGAATCCAATTTTTTTAAAGGGAGGCAAAGAACACAAAAGCAAAAAAAAAGCAATGTTTATCGTTGTTGAAACAACTGGAGGAAAAGCTTTTATTTATTTCAAAGGTATAAATATTGTAAATAAGTAAGCGTTTGTGTACAGTGAGCCATATTTAAAAACCAATACATATTATTTTTGTTAATAGAACCTTTGGATATTTCATAATAAATGATGTCTTATTTTATAGAAACACTGAAAGTTGAAGTTTTCCTAGAGTATAATTTTTCTAATGAGTTAAAAAGTCTACAGTTAACTCTTGCTGCTGAACGGGATCCCAGGATGATACAGTCCATCGCCTGGGCCTTACTAACCACTTAGCTATACCCACCCCTGTCGGCATTTAGAGGCAAGCAAGCCGGCGAGATGGAGGCGAGGAGGAGCCGAGTGTGCTGGCCGCATACACTCTAAGGTTAGGAAGTTCTGACAGTTACAAAAAATATTTTGGTGGGGGAATAGGATGACTGGGAAATGTGAAGGTAGACTAGGAATGAACTACTAGGAGAGTATTATGAATTTTGTTAGGTGTGAAAAATATTATTGTGATTGTGTAATAACAGGTGTTTGCTTTTCAGAGATGCACACTACAACATACAGAGGTGAGGTGTTGTAATTTCTGAGGACAGCAAGGAGGCAGCCAGCCTGGCACAGCTG